AGATAATACAGTGAATGTGGCCAAGGCTCAGGCGGTGTTCACAGAGTCGAGGATCGAGGCTTCTTCGCGGCTGGCAGGATGTTCGCTGTGGGCTACTCTCACTCACGGTGAGGAGGACAAAGAGTTTGTGAACCCGAATAAAGCCATGCTTTATGTCCAAAAGATTATCATCTCAGCAACGGGTAGCGAGGACACGAAAAACTGTAGGGCTGGCTTCCCTTAATCATTTTTTTTTTCAAGTTGGATTAATCTCTACACCAACTGCTTATTTGTCCCACTTCAAATTTTGCTATATTTTTGAATGTATTATGCCTTGTTCCAGGGAGACATTTTTTCAGGTTTATGTTTGACTAAATATTTAGCTGTTTAGACTTTTAACAGTGTTATGTCCTACATGTAATTTATATTGGAAGGTGACTGTATAGGCATCAGCATTTTGAATTGAGAAAGTCATTGTGTTGTTTACAGCTTTCTTTTTTTTCTCATATGTGATCAAGGTGGAAGCCCAAACAGTTAAAGCTGTGTTCCTCAGCACAAGCACAAATGTGTGGATTTTTAGTTGAGAGTTGTTATCCCCATATTCATGTAGGAGAGAAGGGTGGGTATATACTGGATCGGTCTGTCTGGGGGATATTTTTCGGTCAAGTATTTGCTTGTGATAGTTTGTGCATACTCAATATCTTATTGTTCATTTATGACCAGCAATAAGAATATTATACACTAATGACTATCCAGTTCACTGTGTAAGCTGGAATGTAAAATCCCTTAATGATTCAGTGAAATTTCAGAAAATTAAGATGTATTTGAAACAGCTTAACACTGATAGTTTTTTTTTTACAAGAGACCCATGTGCGTGCTGCAGATAGTGTAAGTTTTGGTAAAAAAATATCTGGTCAGATGTTTGAATCTAATTTTCAATCCCAATCAAGAGGAGTAGCCATCACGGTTGGCAAACAGGTATAATTTACAGCCTTGAGTATAGATACTGACACTGCTGGGTGATATGTTATAGTGGTAGGGAAGCTATACACACTCCCAGTGATTTTAGTTTCAGTATATGCACACAACTGACTTCACATTTTTCATAACTTCGTTTCAAACTTACTAAATATATCAGCACACAACCTGATAACTGGTGATGACACAGATTGTGCACTTTCATCCCTTAACTGTAATTTGATGGGGAAAACTACGCTGACTAAGTCCGCTCAATCAATCCACTCATTCCATAAATCTTATGGTGTGACAATAGATAGCGCTTCTGTAATCCTACAAGAAATCCTATTCATTCTTTTCCACCTATTCATAAGACCACTCACCTCTCCCCAGTTTCACCAAGATAGTGGACTAACCAGTTTGCTGGTGATAAGATAGTTTCTGGGGCCCGCCCTCTCCCCGTCAACTTCTCTGAGGCAGCCATAGCAAAGTGGTTCAAAACATCAAAGTTCCAATTCAAAAATCCAGATAATAAAATCCAACAAAGTTCAGTCAGTTCATCTGGACAGTTTCTTTTTTTTTTTGCTGAGACATTTTGTCCTTCATTCAAAGTCAGAGGAGCCACAACAAACTGAGTCCCACAAGCAGTGCAACAGCATAGTGAACCAACCAGGTAATGCTCAATAATCCAGATAAAAAATACAACAACGTTCAGTCAGGTAATCTGGATGGTTTTTTTTTTTTGGTTTTTTTTTTTAGACCTTCACCCAAAGGACTTCATCAATCCGAGGAGCCACAACAAATTGAGTCTCACAAGCAGCACATCAACATAGTGGACCAACAGGTTTGCTGGTGATAAAATGGTTTCTGGGGCCTGCCCTTTCCCCCTTCAACTGCTCTTAGGGAGCCATGGCCAAAGTGGTAAAAAAAATAAAATAATCAATGTTCACCCTCAATAATTCAGGTATAAAAATCCAAGAAAGTTCCATCAGGTCATCTGGATTGTTACTTTATTTTGTTGCAATGTTTTGTCCATCATCCAAAGGACTTCATCAGTCCAAGGAGCCACAACAAACTGAGTCCCACAAACAGCAGGTGTTGGAGGATGTGTTGGTCAGATGCAGGTGTTGGGAAACAGCAAAACTGAGGAGAGGGCAAGCCCCAGAAACCATCTTATCACCAGCAAACTGGTTGATCCACTATGTTGCTGTGCTGCTTGTGGGGCTCAGTTTGTTGTGGCTCCTTAGATTGATGAAGTCCTTTGGATGAAGGACAAAACGTTTCAACAACAACAACAAAAATAACTCGTCCATATGACCTGATTATCTTTGTTGGATTTTTTTACCAGGATTATTGAGCATTAACTTGGATTTTTTTAACCACTTTGGTTATGGCCATCTCAGAGGAGTCGATGGGGGAAAGGGCAGGCCCCAGAAACCATCTTATCACCAGCAAACTGGTTGGTCCACTATGTTGCTGTGCTGCTTGTGGGACTCAGTTTGTGGTGGCTCCTCAGACTGATGACGTCCTTTGGATGAAGGACGAAATGTCTAAAAAAAATGTCCAGATAACCTGAGGGAACTTTATTGGATTTTTTTTTACCTGAATTATTGCGGGTGGGCAGCATGGTGATGCAGTTGGCAGAGCTGCTGCCTCTCAGCAAGCAGGTTACCCTGGTTCAAATCCCAGTCTGGGGGCCTTTCTGGGTGGAGTTTGCATGTTCTCTCAGTGCATGCTTGCTTTTTCTCCAGGTACTCTGGTTTCCTCCCACAGACCAAAAACATGCATGTTTGGCTGATTGGTGACTCTAAATTGTCCCTAAGTGTGAGGGAGAGAGTGAATGGTTGTTTGTCTTGTTTGTCTTTATGTGACCCTGTGATGGACTGGAGACCTGTCCAGGGTGTACACTGCCCCTCACACATTGATGGCTGGACATGGGCACCAGTGACCCCCATGACCCAAAATGGAAAAAGTGGGTATAGATAATGGATGGATGGATGGATTTTGTAGTGCAGATCTGAGACTAAGGAGGCCCTCAGCAAGATTTTTCCACTTCTCAGATCATACCATGAGACCAGCTTGGACTTTCTTAAACTGAAATGGGAAATGGAAATGGAGGAATCCGAATCAGACTCAGTCTGGCGAAAGATCATTCAGAACATTTATTCATCCTCAGTCAGTCTGAGACATGCTGTAATTTAATTCAAGGTGGTGCACTGTCTGCATTGGTCCAAATGCAATCTGCAAGATTAAAGCTGACCTGGATCCTGCATGTAACTGCTGTAAACAAGCTCCATCTACGCTCTTACACCCATTCTGGATTTGTCCAAAGCTGCGGGGCTATTGGCAATTTAGTTTTTGACAGATGAGGAATAAATGCACAACTGCCACCAAAGCAGCAAAACACAACTATTTCTTATCTCAGACCTCCAAAAATCTAAATGACCCTAACAGATTCTGGAAAACCATCAAATCTCTCTCAGGCACC